TATGATATTATTTATAGTTATAAACAATTCTTTTAATATATGTTACTAGGAAATATTTTATTTTCATAGGTATTAATTAGTCTTCTTAAAAATATTAATTAAGAATCATTCTATAAATCACAAATGTTCAACATCTATTTCTAACACATAGATAATCTATGATCTATTTTTTATTTAGCCTAACTCTAAATTGAATATTATCATACATAAATTATAAAGTCCTTTAAAAAGTTATTTTTAAATGGCTATATTTATTTCAACTTGTTTATAAACAGCCTGAAATTCTGATTCCATTTTATTTACTTCTGCAATTTCTTTTTTTCTATGTAAATATAGAAAAATTAATACTTTAATCTTCTTAAATCTTAATAGTTTTTAATTTATCCTCCTCATCCAACTTTTCAATATTTGTTAGTTTTTGATCAAATATCTCTTCTTAAAATTATTTTCATTTAAATAAATCTAACAAGAAAAAATTTAAATATAATTACAATTAAATAATCATTATATATTTAAAGAATAATTTTCATTTTCTCATGCTATTAGTCTGGATTTTATATTCAAAAATAAACTGAATCATAAAAAAGAATCATTAAAAGGATCTGTTCGCAAAGGATTTAATGGAGTATTAAACCTAAAAATACAGAAGGCTTTAGATGATGATATTGTCAATGACATAGGATTTGTAATTTACTCAATGTTTAGAGGTAAAATAATATTGCAAAATCAAATATAATATATTACAACTTTCAAAAAAGTATAATCTGTAAAAGAATTTGTAATAAAATTTAATATAACTCTGTAAATGACTTGATTTAATTCATTATAAATTAATATAATATTAATTTTATTTAAGCAAATTAATGTAATTTATTGCTTTTTGATTGTAAGTATTATTAAAAACTCATAAACTAAATACAATTTTATTTTGTAAAGAGGAAGTTCCTGCCATAATAATTTCTTACTTAAATTTCTTATATTTTCCAACAACTTAATTCATAATGTTGATTTATAACCTCTTTATAAGCAGTTTAGATTTTCTTTCGCTCGCTAAAATATCACAAGTGGTTAGGAGATAATATTTTGCAGACTTCTGTAATTTTAGACAAATAATTGAATCTTGGAATTTAGCTCTGGGTTTTTAAGAAAAAAATATTTTTTGGTGAGGCTTCCTCATCATTATTTATTTAACAATAATTCTGAAAAAATTAATTATAATAATATGAGAATATAGAATGATATATCCTAAATAAAAATTCTGAACTGGGTGTCAATTTAATTTTTATATATTTGAATTTCTAACTATTCTTTCTTATAAAGAATACCTAAAAAAATTAATTCCAAAAAGACTTTTTGTATCTTTTTACTTTTGACATTTTTGGGATATATCAAAAGATTTAATGTAATTCTTTTCGAATTAAATTTTCAAACTAAAGAATATTAAGTTAGTCTTTATATTTTAAATTAATACTATAAATTTACAATGGTTGGAATTGATCTAATTTAATTACTTTTATAATACCTTCAGAATCATTATTTTGCAGTATTTGACTAATATCAACTATTTTTTTAACAAAATTTTTGCCTAAATAACAGCTTCAAATCCTTTACATGAAGTTTAAGAATTTAGACTTAAATTTATCTTATACTTTATATATTAACAGATTTCAAAATTTAAAATATTAATTTATCTTAATATAATAATAAAACCATAACCATAACAAGATATGAAGATAATCATAATTCCTTTTATATAATTTATAAAATACATTAAAATATTCTATATAGATGAAGTTGATTAAAACAAAAATTTATTCGAATAAATTGAAAAAAGTAAAATTTTATTATTGATGAATTTCCTTATACCTCAAATTTTATAGAGAATAAAATATTAATCCTATATTGATTCAAATAATTACTTAAAAAAATTAGCTAACCTCGACTAATTTATAATGGTAGATAAATATGTTTATAAAATTAAAGAATAAAAATGAATTAATTATAACAATTCTGTTTGTAATATTTCAAAGGAAAAACAAAGAATACCTTATAAATAAAGCCTACAAGTATGAGATTGAGACTAAGAGGTTAGTAGTAATAGATTGATAAGGACTTAAATAATTGAGAATGCAATTAAGTATTGGATACCTTGGAGGAATACTAAAATATTGTAATGTTCTTCATGGCTTTTAAATTTAATCTTTGCAGTTAATACTTAATTAATATTGAACTCTTTACACTATTAAAGCATTTTGTTTCAAAAAAACTTAGTTTTTAAAATTCTTCATCATAATATTATTTATAATTATTTTTGAATTTTTACGCTTAAATTATGAATAAAACTCTGTTCAATATTCATTCATTTATATAGTTGAATGAGAATCTAATATTCGAATTTTAAAGTCAATAAAAATTATAACTCTTTTGTATATGATATATTTAATATAATTGATGTGAGATTTAAATGCCTTATTTTCTTATATAAATGAGTAACCTTGAGTTTAATTTAATATACAATAATTATTGAATATATGTGAATTAATAATTATATAATTTTTCAAAGCTAGCTTATTCACTTTTGGAAGTTTTGATCTTCTTCTACTCATTCCAAATACAAGCATTCGTTAAAAAAAAAATTTATTTTAGCATTTTATGAACTTAGGTTTTAATTCATTTTACATTTTCCAACAATCCTACTTTTAAGAATAAATGATTAACCTCTAAAATTTCTATTTTATTATCATAGGCATTTGAAATAAGTTAATATTACTCTTTTTTTTTATCTTTAATACTTGCATGTAAATTTTGAGGAATTTCTTTAAGTAAAAAGTATCCATAATCTAACTCTTTACAAGGATATCAATTAATTACTAGATTGTTTATAAATTTCACCCTTCATAATTCTCCCTGTAGTTTCAATCATAGTTATAATTTATTTCTTCTTACTATTGGTCCTTTTAAGCAAGAAAGAATAAGTAAAGTTTCTAATGTACCGTAAAAATTAGCATTGAAATTCGCATTAACATCACATACTATAAAGTTAAAATTGTGGAAAATAATTATGATATAAAAAATAGCTTAAAGTAGATAATGTCATTTGTTTTGGCTTCATAATTTCCTAATTTTAATCATAATTCATACTACTCATTCTGAATAAAGGAAGCTGAATCTAGAATTTAGTATCTTCTCTAGAGATACTATTTCTATCATATATGGATCAATTATGCTTTAGTTTTATTTTTTAACTTACAATCGTAACCAGAAACCAATTGATTTTGAGTTTTACAATTTGATAATCCAGAGCAAATCTTTTTTTTTATAATATCTCCTTCTAACTTTATATTTTCATTATTGATATATAATAGTAATTACTAATGCTGTTATTTTCTCCATTTTTAGATAAAATTTATGTTATCTAAGACACTTTAGGAATAATGATTTGGTTTTTTTAAAGTTTTCAAATGAAAATACTGCAAAATTCAGAGCTTTATTGATTATCAATATTCAATCTATTATCTGCATCCTAATCACTTAATTATTTTAATGTAAAAATGGAATTGAATTTAATAAACTTATAATCCTCTAAATATCAATTTGATTTCCTATTTTAACTTAGATTTAAATGAAAGTAATTGAATATTTTTCTTTTCTCTAAAAATTAAAGTTAATAAAAGTGATTTTATAAGTTTCAAAGTAAAGCCTACTGATCAAAAATCCTCTCAAAATATTGTAACAAAAATTCCACTTCCTCTTGAAGTGATTCTTAATGAACAAGAATAATGAAAACAAGAGATATTGTAAAGTTGCTTGTGTGAATGTTGTTATGAGACTTTATGAAATTTGAGTTGAAAACTTAAACTATTTTAAATTAAGCTTAGATTTATTACATTGTTCATATAATATCTTCCTCATAATAATTACCATCAAAGAAACAAATAGTACTTTCTATCAATCTTTATCTACATTTTATCAATTTGTGAATTTAAGGCAATAAATTTACATGTTATATTTTTTGTATTGTTTATTAGATGATAAAAGCACTTCTCTTACAC